GCTTCCTCTCCCTCTCTCTCTCTCTCGCTCTCTCTCTCTCTCTCTCTCTCTCTCTCTCTCTCTCTCTCTCTCTCTCTCTCTCTCTCTAGTGGCATGATTTAACAGAATACATTATCACCGTTAAATTGGAGTCGAGTGAGTAAAAGCAGCAGCGGTTTTGGTTTCATAATTCCATTCCCTTTACGAAGGACTGATAAGAGACCTCACGTCAACTGCTCTGGCAACTGCGTGTCCTTAGCAGTGGTTGTTCACCCGCGCGCACACACTGGCATGCACATTTGGGCTGGGCGAGGTTGCTCAAGAGAGAGCGACACAGAAAGAGAGAGAGGGGAGGATGAAGAGAAGGAGAGATAGACCTAATAAGAACCTCTTCAACGGGATTACAAGCACTAAAACTGGCTAATCTTTGTCATTACGAAAAGATGCAGTTGGCTAAGTCACAGGCTTATTGTTGCGACGTGCAAGCTTTGCATCTGCCAACGCAACACCTTCGGTTAGTGGGAACATGCTTTTAGATTGCACGTGGCAACTAATTGTAATTGAGCTCGACTTCTTCCCTGAGGAAGATCAATTCTTCGATAAACAAATCACTTTTCTGTGCATCGTATGACGAGGCTGTCTTATTTCCAATGTCTAGCTATGCATATTCCTAAAACGAGGTGGAAGTGTAACACTGACAAACCTACAGTAAATGGAGTAATCTGATTTTGTGTTAGATAAGCAGCAGTTTCCCGGTGTGGACTTTGGATGCCACCGTTATGGGTGCAGGCAGGCGTTCGTTATTCACTGCTGAGGGCAACTCCGGTTTGCAAATGTGATCTGATCACAGTATCTGCATCAGAATGTGGATGTCTACCATTTAGACTCAATGTCTATTTGGCACATCCAAATTAACTGCACATCCTCCACTTTAAGCACACTTTTGGCAGACGCACACGCATGCACGCGTACTTTATTATGTAACCTTAAGTCTTTTAATTGCTCTCCTTTCTTATCTCAGTCTCATTCTCCCTCCCTCCCTTCCTTTTCCTTTTATCTCCCGATTTGAAATCCCTGCTTTAACATTTGTTCACCTCAAATCAGCTCTCCATCTCCAAGTGCAGAAAAGGAAATCATTTCACACATAATCTGGTCGAAATGAAGAGGAAAACAATAATCGCCATAACCCACCGTGCCGTCCTTCTTTTTCACCCTTTTCGTATAGAGTACAATTAGCTGGCCACTTTTGCATTCATGTGATATTTTGGGTCTCATAACTTTTCCTCTTGATATCTCTTTGGACACGGTGGCAATGACAAACAATAACAGCTGTTCAGCTGGTCTGCATGCAAGATCTTCTTCCAATAAAACATTTGTGAATATGGAGCGCCTCAAACAAACTTCTAAATCTGAGAAAAATGATGTGGCTCCACAGAGACATACTTACTTCACGGAGCAGTAAAATTGGCAGACGAGGACTTATGACTTCAAGGCAGATTTAGAGTTTAGGAGCGGTTCAGGTCTGAAAATCCCTCATGGCGTAGATAAAGTGGCTACACAAACTCAAGCGTGCCATATAGCCCACGCTTTGTGTGTATTAAGATTTAAAGAAAAAAGCGAGAGAGAATGAGGAAAGAAGGGGGACACCGTTCGCCTCATATCCCCGAGATAGCGACGGCGGGATAAAACCAACATGAAGTCTGTGCTGAGCGCTTGCTAAACAAACATGAGCTATGATAGCGGCTCAGTGGGACTACAGGAGTGCCATCAGGCCATACGCACACAGACGCACACAGCGCGCGGTTGGGCAGAGGAGACTGCGGTATGCGTTAGCGAGTGTGTTGCCAGTGGGATATGAGCCCCACATGTGTGTGTGTGTTGCAACAGCATCCAAGCCGTAGCTCAGTCAGTAGGGCTGCGTTGAGGGATTAACAACGTGGCCTGCATGGGCTTGGGGTAATCTCTCCTCTCTTCTTACATAACACTCGCCATTAGTCAGCACAAACACACAATAAACAACACAATCGACACTAACCGAGTCCGACAACAGACCACTCGGGGCCCCGATAATAGTGCACATTGCGTTTTCCACAGCAAGAAATTAAGTTGGAGCAATGTGAATCAGTAATGGAATGAAAGTGGTCTTTCAAACTCAGGGTGGGTCCAGTGATCTCGGTTCAGCTGCTTTCTCACTTGAGATCTTTTTGTCCATTTGGATTGTCGGCCGAACTGTACTTCCCACCTTGTATGAAAATATAAAAAAAGAGTAAACGGTTCACAATTCAGGATCACGCGATATGGTTGAAGCAGTGTCATCTGAGTGATGCACCACAGATTTATCTGAACAGACTGCTTCCGTTGGATTTGATGAAAAATCGATCTCGGGATGCTTCGGAATCGGACGGATCAATGCGCAGGCCTCCACGGCAAAACAGGATGGAACAAATTCTATTGGCATGAAGCCGTCATGCGTATTGTTTCAATGTGTGTGTGTGTGTGTGTGTGCGTGTGCGTGCGCCTGTAGTGATGCTATCTACGTGTATGATTGCATGGGGAGAAAAACACGAGCCAATGGCATATTTTGCAATATCGACAGCATCGCCACACCTGTTGTGACACCTCTGACCTCAGCTTGACTTCGCCTGACTCATGTCCTGTTCCTCTCTTTTCGTCATCCTGAAGAAGTGCGGGAGATAGCGATTGACACTTATCGCTTATCCAGCGGATCAAATGCCGCTTTGACCGTCCCTCTCCTGCCCTGTAGACCCCCACCACTTCAGCTACCGCATGGTGAACTCTTTGACCGAGGTGCATCGAGGTTGCACCGACGCTGCCTAACGACGCTGCCTCTACGCTGCAGCAAATGAAATCATGTCCAACACGAAATGAATAAAACTAGTTTGTATTGCTATTATAATTTGTTTGGCTGTACAAATATGATGGGACATTGTCAGCTTCATTTACTTGCAACTTCATAATGAGGTTTTAGATGCAAATGAAAACGGTCAAGTATCAACTTGGTGCTAAATACAGATTTTCATTTTTAAACCATTTTGCAAAGCCACAATATAAAACATGCATTTCTTGAAATGAAAAAAAAGCCCAAATTATATTTTTGGATCAGTTATTTTTTTTTCCGTTTTTGTTTTCCGGGCCTGGAAATTGGCGGACATCACATTCGGTCGCAACTTCAGAAGTTGTGGCTACCGTTAAATGATAATTACCACGGCACATGAGAGGCCTCTATTTTTTATAACCTTGTGGTTGTGTGCACAGTTCTATGTAAGGGCAGCTGAGACACACACACAGGTTGAGAGTGGGGGGCGCGCTGCCCACACTGATTTAATTCTATCTGACAAAACCCTTTCGGGCGTGCAGAGGGAGAGAGGAAGATGGAGAGAGCTAGAGACGGAGAAAGAGGGGTGAGAGAGACGCTTCAGGGGCCTCCTCTGCTAACCATGGCTATAAAGTGAAAGCTGGAGCTTCCCGTAGAAACCCCCTGGAAGCCTCCCATGCACAAGCGTGGTCGCTATAATGCGAGGGGAAAAAAAAACGCAAGGCACACGACAGAGGAGTTTGGTCTTAAATGACAGAATGAGAGGTGGGCGACGTTTGTCTATTTTATTTATTTTTTGGTTTTGTTTTTGTTTTTCTGGCTCAGAGTTGTGGTGGCCTCAAGCAGCAGCCGGAAATGTTAAATGGCATCCAGACACATAAAATATGACAGCGAAAAGAAGACTTATGCAACAGATGCTGTTCTCGATGGCCATTTATATTGTTTGTAATGGAATTCAATCTTGCTGTGGTGATTAATTGTTTATTTTTCAACTGAACTGCAACATTGGATTAATGCCACATGTAATATGCACGATCACAGCAAATTATTCTGTTACTATATAAATAAAAATAATTACAATGTATTCTATTTATGTGTAACAGTCTTTTTACCGAGTTATTCAGCCTATATATATATATGTATATATATATATAAACATTTTTCCTTAAACATTCACCGATTACACCAAGAATGATCACATTTAATGGCTACCTATATCCATACAAAATGTTGTTCTCACCGTTAAAATGCTATTTGACATAATTGTTTTAGAAGACAAAATGCAGCAACGTATTTTCATAACGTTCAATGATGCAACTTCGTCTGAGCCTGAATTGCACAATACGTCTCACTATAAAACCAAATCTCCAAAGGGCCGTTAACATTCCAAATAGGCCCCACTGCAAATGTGCTTGAATTGGGAACAGTATACAACACTGTTTTAAATCTCACACTGTTCATGGAGGGGGGGGGGGCGGGTAGGAACGGGCATGCTTGTGCGTTTGTATGCGCGCGTGTGAGCGAGAGAGAGAGAGAGAGCGAGAGAAAGAGAGAGAGAGAGCCGACAACATGACATTGACGTTGATATTGAACATGCCGGCCGCCTTGCAGAGAAATGGGTTAGTGGAGCTCACGGCAAGTGGCCCTGGAACATCCCAAAAACTTTTTACACAACCTCGAATCAGCAAGGCAAACTGAAGACGAGTAAAAAGCATATTTCCTGTAACATCATCAGGCGGCAATTTCCGGTCGGCGAGCTGATGTGAATGGACTAAGGTGATTAATCAGACGCCACTTTTAATTTCCAATCGCTTTGCGCGTGGACTTGCTCACCTGCTCATTTGACACGCGCAAATAAACTTTGACATACTTTCTTCATTTTGTATCGTGGTGAACTCGACTTAAAAGCGAAAACAAACAAACAAACAAAAAGAAAAACTCCCCCAATAAAAACTTTCAAGGTCCAACGTGACATGGAGCAAATCACGCCAATCGGCGTTCGCGCGTGCGTGGAGTTGGTGCACTTACCTCGCATGATGTTGCTGTTGCGCCTCACTTCCCAAAGCAGCAGTCATGAAGAAACAAACAGAAACACTGAAATAAAAAGGGGCGTCTCGGTGGGCAAGATCCTCTGTTTAAAATAATAACTAAAAGAGTGTCGACGATCTGCGTCGACGACCGCTGGCTGCCCTGATTGGAGGCGGCTCGTGCGCTAAAAGCATCCCAGACGCAGGCGTGGGGAGGCGGACGGAGGTCGTTCGGCGTGTCGGTGGTTGCGCTCTGGTCTTGCGGTCGCTTTCGTGACATCTGCGCTCTCACCTCGATGGGAGGGTTCCACTGTTTTCTGCCGGCTGAAGGAGGGAAGAGCGTGTTGGAGAGGCTTTGCCCGCCCGCTCGGATTGGACCCGAGCACTTTCCGCTCCTCCCACTCTCTCCCGCTCAGCCTGCGGCCGACGCGCGCGCACACACACGTAGGCACACGCACGCAGCCTGAGCGCACTACGACGCCAATACTTGACATTTAATCAGTCCAGTACAATATACTGGTGGTTGTTTTCAAACATGCAAAAAAAAAGTGTGTCAACCCTTTATCATGTCCAGATGTTCCGACTCCATGATTTAAAAAGAGACTCATGTTGATCTGGCTTATCAGGTATTTGTGAAAATGTTTAGATCACAACATATTTCGATGACTCCAGTACAGGAGCTGTATGAAACATTTCTGCCTTTAAAATGTAAATAATATTCACTTTTGAGTGAATGGATAAACATATTAAACACCATGCTTCTTAGTTTAATGAGCACAATATTGCTCTGCATCGTAGTGTGAGAGCACATAACAAAAGCTAAATAAAACAGACCAAAGTGTTGGTCTTTTTGTACTTAGAATGACAGCTGTTTTGTGACCAAGAGTAAATGATGCATCTTAATTGTGATTGTCAACTTAAAGTACAATTGAGACACTATTAAAAAGTTATTGAAGACAACAAGAACGGAATAGTAATGGTGGTTATGTACTGTACACGGACCTTAACGATCTTACTCTATGTCACAGAAAGAAGAGCAGCTCCGATGACACGACTTGTCTCAGGTATTCCTTGGGGATGGCTTTCAGGGTGGGGTCTTCTACTTCCTCTGAGAAATACTCAAACACTGACCTGGCAACCGGACGATATACGACCTCAACAACTGACACTGTAGGCTTGAGGTGATTCTAACCGTGCTCATTGTGATTTTTGGCCCATTGTATCTTTAACTAACAAATTCTCACCACCAGGAATTTGTGATCCTCATAACCATATCAAGTCAAGTCAAGTATTTATTGTCAAATGCGCTGTGTGTACAACAAACAGCACAGATGAAATTTCTTCCCTCTCAACCAGACAACAAGACAACAAGAGGAGCCACCGTGGTATATAGTGACCAACGGTTGTCCCACTGGGGTTCAAATTTGCAAAGTAAGCATTTATATTGTTTTCTCTGTGCTAATTAAGGAAAAGGGGGAGATAATATGAGATGGATGACAAGGCCCAATATGTGTTTCCAGCTTCAGTAACCTCCGCCGCCAGGTCTCCCTCGAGCCCACACAGACGCCTGGTGACTTCCATGGGGTTTGAAGTAAATGTGAAGCAAAGTTAAAAAAATAGTCATATCATGCAGGTGCAGAAATGAGTGTGTGTCCTGTTTGTTCTGAAACAATCTCCCTCTGTCAGGCTGGGTTAGCATCAGGCCTGGTGCTCAACGTCTGCCATTGGAGTACTTGTGTGAGAGCTAACACTGTAGATGCTTATGGCAGTCTGTGCGAGGTAGCAAAGAGGCAGGTGTGGGTTGGAGGCACTTTCAACCCCACTCTCTTAGCCTCTTTAGCTGTGGCCCATGGAGAGAGAGAGATAGAGAGAGAGAGAGAGAGACACACACACACACACACACACACACACACACACACACACACACACTCACACAACCAATGAGAGAGCGAAACTGCCCCGAGCGCATCTCCACTGACCTACATTTTATCTGTCGCTTTTTTTCCACTCCTCCTTCTTCATCCTTTATTTCTCCCATACCAACAGCTCCATAATTGTGATGTAATGACCAAAGCAAGCGTGATAAAATCCCAGACTGGTCAGGATGAAACGCACCTTCAAGACAGGCAGACAGTGAAAGACAGCAACGGGGAGGGGTTAATCGTTAGTTCTTTAAAATCAAATGATCCAATTTTTCTAAAGGGATTTTTTCAGAATTGTCCTTATTTGTTCTGTGCGCTGTGTGAACTTCAATGAATGTGAACATAGGTGAGTCCATTAAAAGGGATTACACCCTATTTGAAACCAGAACCGTGAGCGACAATTGGCAATTTACTTTAAATGTGTCCAAGAGTGTAAATTGTGTTGTGAAAGTGAACATAGAGGCAGGACGTCATGAGGTCTGGAGTGTCCATATGGTGGTAAGAGGGAGGAAGGGAGCAGGAGAAGCAGACGGGGCCATGCCTAAGGGCCCAACTTGGAGGAGGAGAAAAGTGCATTCTGCATAGAGATGCAATCTCAGATCCAATTGCTCTGCCTTCATATTCCTATGCCTGCTTCTTTTCCTTTTTTTTTTTTTTTTTAAATAAGATAATCACTATATGAAACTTTCTCAATCCCTGGAAGAGCAGAATTATTTATCGGTTCTGCTATCTTTCTTCATAGAGTTTGATGGTGCTTTTGTCCAAAAATGTGAGGCAAAACCAACTCTTAAAAATGACTCCCTTCACTTGACTTTTCCATAGTCAAGGAGTCCAGATTAGTGCACAGGTAAAAGCACTGGGCCCCAGGTATGCTGCAGGCCCTCCATTGAAAAAAAAGTCATTTAATTTTAAATTGTTGGCAAGCATCGGGATGTTGGGGGGGGGGGGCTGGAACCGATCTCAGGTGACATCGGGACGCCCTGGACTGGTCAATCACTGGGCACATCGACACACAATCAGTTGCGCTCACATTTACACTGTCAGAAAGTGAACCCACGCGGTTCAGTGCTTTATTCATTTTGGAGTGAATCAATCATAAAGCATATTTTTAAGAGAAGTTTTTTTTTAGTTTTTCATTTTTTAATTCATTTTTAGTTTATACGACCAAGCCGGAATTTAAAGTTGCACACCTTCAGTCTATTATCACATGCCGCAGGATGCCAGGCAGCACTCAGGTCTACTGGACGATATGCAACATAATTAGCAGCAAGAAGAAGAGGCAGAGAAGATCCCCAATTAATACTGTCGTCTCCAGCAGTAATAGTCTTTGATTCAAAGAGCAGAAAGGAGTATTGTGTGCTCCGCTAGTGTGTGTTGCTGCGTCATCTGTTTGGAAGTAGCAGTTGGTTGAATGTTTCCAATTACGTTAAGATCTATTCTAATTGCCTTATGCTTGTCTGTGGCTATAGCAAGCGGACTTTAATTCTGCGGAATGATATTGTTTGGTCGACAGTTTTGTGTTTCCATACGGGTATATAATGTTCAACTGGGGTGGGCTGAGAGCTTCGGAGGAGCAGGTGGAACAATTGTTTGAAATAGCTTCCAGGAAGATACTTCACTGTATACAGTAACTAATTGCACCATGTAATTTGTGTATAGCTGAAATGATGTGTGTGTGTGACTAATGTTCCTACTGTGACTACTGATGGCTTCTTGCCCGGCGCAGGAAATGATGCTTTCAGAGCCCCAGAAATGAGCGTGGGAAATTATTCTGGGCACAATTTAGCCTGAGCACCGAATTCTCGTTTGCGACCACAAATAATTGTTGGTGGCCACGAATATTTGTGGCCCTGTGCTGGACAGTTGGGAGAGCAAATCAAGTGCTCCTTCCCTTGAAACGGTGATGTGGAGGTAGAGGCTGGGGCTAATGGACAGGGTGATGGAATGATTTCATTTTCCTTTAGGCTGGGGCTAAGTTACAGAGCCATTCTGAAAAATCGGTGATTGCATGCTATGGACTAGAAGAGAATAAGAGTAGACCCTTGCTTTAAGGACAGCGGGTTTTGAAGGTTTCTAGGCAAAGTGCACGCAAGTTGCTTTCCGAGATGTCAAAGGTTTTTCCTGGGAATGATGTTAAACCCACAAATTAGTACTTAGTGCACACATTATACCTGCTTTATAGTGTGACCGAAATGAATGAAAATTCATGTCCGGAGCTCTGCGGATACTGATGGATCAATGGAGCTCTTTTTGCTTTTCTTTTGAAGTTGGAAAAAAAAATGTTGCCCTCAGAAGGTGGTCACATCAATAAATTCATAACAGTTCTTATCTCAACTGAATTTACTTAACCACACGTTTAAAGTGACAAATGCACTCATGAAAAGTGCACATCCACCAATAATAAGCAACAATCGTAAGATTAATACAAAACACATATCAAATGATTAATGGGAACAAACATTCCCACACAAACAAATCAAAACCAAACATTATCATTCTTTTTTTTTTTTTTTTTCATACAGCTCTTTTATTGGGTGCAGTTTAAGTGGTCTGAATGAGCTCCTTATTCATACCAATCAGTGTTGCCCTTGAATCGACCACCAGGAAGTTAACTTAAATATAATTAGATAAGTTTCCTCTTGAAAATAAGAAATTAGGCCACAGGTCTCTGAGGAATCATCGTCTCCAATCTGACATGTTCCACTCAGCCTCTCCTTCTCCCACTGAAACAAGCAGGTGATTTTCTCTGCAAAGATACGGTAAAAACACGTTCAGGAGTGGCAGAGTGACAGCACATGAGTTTGAATCGTATTCTTGTTTTTGCAGGGATCCGCTTGAGAGCCTTTTGTACACGTGAATACATGACCATATACCTCAGTGATTTAAACACAAGGGTGTTTTGCAGGTGTCAAATACAAAGGCCTCATATAATATGACATTGACACGTTGACATGTAAAGTGAGAGCTCAGGGATAGAGAATGAGAGCCAAAGAGGGGAGAGACGGGAGACACAGCGAAGGAGAGGTAGATATTGACAATACACTTGAGAAATTTGCCGAGAGATACCACAAGTGACATAGGCAATTTCTCTGGAAAAATTACTTCATCATAATTTCAATCCCGAGAAGAATTGAAAGAAAAGCCCTCAAGGAGGAAGGCCAAGTCACCTTGAAAGGCATTAGTAGAAATGCCATAACCCCCCCCCCTTTTTCCCCCGCCCCCCCACCAATCCCCCCACACTTCCCCTCCTCCACTCATACACACTGAACGGGACTTCAATTTTATGCATTAATACAAAATCTAAAAGCGATCCTTATGTCTTCCACTAAGGAATTTACTGCACATCATTCCCATGCGTGAATCACAGTTCAAATAAAGAGTACTGTGCAAATGTCATATTGGGGCACAGATAGTTTTGTTGTTTGACATATTAATACAGTCAGTGGTACTTGAAGGGTGGAGTGGATAAAGGAGCAGTAAATGCAATTTATTTTCACCTTTGAGTTGCTGTGGTTATGGTGTTTTCAAATTGGTAAAACATCATCGTCTTCATCATCTCAAAGATTTTGTAGCACCACAGTAGAAAGATCCGTCGGTCTGTTATTAGCATCAACCCAATCAAAGCTTTAAAAAAAAACCTTTCATGTCTTTACCTCACAGTGTCAATCGTCAGATTTTAATTGGATTTCTTCATTTTCAGATTTTTTTTTTTCCCCCACTGTTTGCCGTTAGGAAACGGAATCCAGTTTTACTTTGAGTCGTCATTTTCCTCTTCTTGTTCCTCTTAATATACAGTGTACAGTATATCTTTTCCTCAGTAGGCAGGCACGTCGAAAAATGTGTCTTTTGCCCGAGGCACTTTCTCAAAATAATTTAGTTGTCGTTATTTCTTAGCGAGAGCTTAATAAATGTTGGCGTGCAAATGGGGAGGAAATTGCTAACTGTGTGCGGCTTTCATGTTCAGGGCTACTTGATAGTTATGTTGATTTTCTCATGTGGTTCGTACTTGTATAAACTAACAGAGAATACAGCAATGGCTTTGCAAATCACATTCTTGATTTATTTATTCAATGGTGGGCAGCCCTGTCTGTGGGTGTGGGGGTGTGACTGGTGCCTGCCCTAAATTCTTAGAGGTCTAATTAAATGTCTTTTGAAATTTCACAGACATTGTGGGTTTGGGTTACTACAGTTTGGACTTCAAAATGTTCGAATCACATTTTAGTCAGTGAATTTGAAATATTTATATATATCTTATTCTCTTCATGGAATCACTGGGTCGATGTACAATAATCCCCTTCATCAAAACAAACAGATGTATCGAATATAACTTTGTAGCCCTCTTATACACAACCCTTGACCTTTAACCTCTGTCTATCTGTAGGTGTTCAGTTCAGGGGGAGGGGGCTTTTCTAGAAGACCAATAACGGAGCCCAGGAGGACGCCACCCAGAGATCCTCTTACTGTCTGCCACACAGGAGCAACACTAAGCACGATAATCTGGAAGGAGGGGATGGTAGGGTGGAGATGATTTTGTGTGTGTGTGTATGTGTGTGTGTGCGTGTGTGTGCATGCGCAATGATGATGCTGATGATGATGATGGTGTGGGGGTGGGTCTGGACGGCATGTTTTTAACCCCTCCCTCATCTCCATCCCCTCTGGTTAATCTGGAGTCTAGCATGTGGATTAGCACAGCACCACTGTTTGACACAATGCTGCGTTTCCTACAGTGCCTGTAAGATTACGTCTTTAAGCAGTTTATGTTCACAGATCAGTGAGAATATTGGAGTTAGCACATGGGCTAATGACATATATTGCAATCAGCACGCTTGTGCATGCTTCATTATCATCATTCACGTTGAAGCATTTAGGGACTGTGCTTTTTGGCATGGAGGCAGAGTGGGTATGGCAAAGCGTTTTCCAACAGATGCTCCATTGTTTTTGATTCTTCCTCTTGGAGTTGATGCCCGATAGACCACCGGCACCACTTAGCCTGCACCACCCCACAAGCACACACCGTCTCATCATGTTAATGCGATCATCACCTTTAGCGTTGGATGGATGATTTGACATCTCCCTTTGTGTGGGTTGAGGTAAAATGAGTCTGTTAGTCTGTTAATCCACGGGGATTAAGAAACAACAACAATCCCCCGTGGAGTGTGTGAGTTTTTGTTTTGTGTGAGCGAGAGAGTGAATGTGCGCACGTGCTTCTTACGGCGTGCATCTTTGAGTTTTGACATCAGCTCTTCACGGGCTCATATCTGAACGAAAACTTCAGTGTACCTCAGCACCGGTGCGAGATGTGGAGGGTGCTGATGTTGATGGTGCTGATGATGATGATGAGGAGGAGAAGAATGAATGATGGAGGGGGTGGGGGGTCAAAGGGTAGGAGAGTGTAGGGATTAGTTGATATTTCCCTGGCATTACGTACGCTTTGGCGAACATCTACTTAAGTCCTGCCTTATGCGCCGCTGTCTGGAACACACACACAAAAAGCCCTCTGTCCCATTCACACACACAAAGACTATTAGTACAGTCCAGCTCATCCTCTCAATGCGCAGAAGAAAAGAGAGAAAAACATGTTAAGTCTTTGTCCTCTTCTGTCTGGGCTCATTCATTCTCCCATCCATGGGAGGAAGAGTAATAGGGTGAAGAGAAAGGAAAAAATTGGAAAGACATAGATGATGATTTGTTCATTGCGCTTGTGGTCAAGTTACTTCAGAGTAACTCCAATGGACGCGTGTAAACCTTAACAAAAGGCATACGGTAAATTGTCCTGAAATTATCGTCAATAACCTCATATTTGGTATCGATTATTATTGTTCTTACAAGACATGGAACAATGGAAATATGTCAGGATGTCCTCAATTTAATTTTTGTTTGTGTTTGTTTTGTATTATTGGGTGATCGAACGCTGCCTTTTTTTTTTTTTTTACTTTTGGAACTTTTTCATCCATTAAATATATAATCATTTGAAAATTGGTGGCTAGATGGATGCTAGAATTGCCAGTGTGATATCCTTTAATATACTGTCATTAAGTTTCTTTTCCGATTGGCTGTGGGAGCTGCGTGAAATCATTGTTGACTCATGTTTAACTTTGCAAATATGGTTTCATCCCCATAACAGACGACCGCAGGTTATACAAACCTCCACTGAAAGGGTCGTTGGTTTGAGCTCAATCCGCAATTAATCAGAATCTGAATCCGATTAATTGGCCAAGTATGAAAGAAACACACAAGGAATTCTCACTTACAAACCGTTCAGTTATTTTCTTTCTCGATGGCGAAAATGACGCAGTGTGTATATGGACACACGTATCCATATGTGTCGGCCCGTACGTGTGGCGTGCAACTTGCTGGAAATACACAAGAGGTAAACAATCATGGCAAAGGTCAGAGATGCAGCACAGTGGCACACTCAACGCCATCAACATCAACAGATTTTTTTGTTTGTTGTTCTATTTCTGGACAGTACATTGTGAAATTGGCATTGTGATAATTCAATTTTGACCTTGCTTACCATGAATGACATAAAAAATGAAAAGGTTTTATTTTAGAATCCATTTGCTTTTTTGTTTGCATATACGTGTGAGATGCTAATCTCCTTTTTTGCCCTTGTCCTTACTTTCAGAATCATGGCATTGAGAGGATTTAGATCGAGATTCGTATGTGGACAACATCCTGCATACATTTTTTATCTCTCGTGAACTGTTTATTTTGCTGTACTAAATTTTGAGTTTTAATCAAACCGAACACCAACAAAATTTACTTGTCATGTATGAGTAGCCGTTTAGGTCAATAAAATAACAAGGTTAACTACAAAATAACTGTCTGACACATCTGGAAGATCAAGATCAAGAGGAGTTGTCGAGTTGTCTGTCTCAGCTCTGGCATACCAGGTTGCCAGTGTTGGCATCGGCCGGTTTGTTGAATCCTGGAATGCTCACAAAATTGATTTTGATGCTCACTGTATTGGTTTATCAATTTTTATTTGTGACAATTTGAGTTAAAAAAAAAAAATCACTGCAAAATGACTATCATGTACTGCTAATCGGCAACTCTTCCCCTTGTGTCAATTTTACTACATACTGTATATTGTGGGAAAAGGGATTCCCAATGTTTTGGGCACAGGTTGATGTCCAGCCAAGATTGCGGAGAAGCAGCTGACTGTTATGATGCAGAGAAAGGTTCATCCTTGACAAGGGTCTCAAGTTTTTCAAATAGATCCTTTGATGAAGCAATGACCAATTCAGTTGACGTGAACCACTCGATAAAGTTGCGGTATTTACAGCTGCGGAGAGGGAGGACCGCAGTCTACTTCATGCATCATGCTTTTTTAGTATTGCGCCAAAAACAAAACAAAACCAAAAAAAACGGGTTGCCACTGTAAACCAAGAAAAACAAAACGTTTACTCACAGGCAAAACGCACTTATGGAGTCTTGATGACGGTTCAAACAGTTTTTGCATGGCTTTCATAGTTTTCCTGAACATTTTTGTATCAACTATATGCTGCATTTCAGTTTTGAGGATTGTGTGTAATTAATCACGCTCACATTGCCAGTCTACATACTATTTACCACCAGTCGAGATTCGTGTACGGAGATGGTTTGAAAGGAGAAATGCCGACATTTTGCACATGCAGCTGAGTTTAAGAGTTCATTAATTGTTAATTGATGACCGTTCTTCTTACTGGGGAAATCATTTTTAAATAATGTGAAATGTGCAACAATGAATATCATAATGAGGTCTGGGTAATAATAATGCGTTGGGATGTATGTTCTCGGTGCAGGCCTGCCCTGCGATACTGCAGCGATAATGGGATGTGTCTGCTATCTGCCACCTGGGATGGTTTTCTTCAATGGTCTCTCCTGAGTTTTTTTTTTCCTATCTGTACTACTTAGACATCGCTCTCCTCACTTTACTTCACTAGCTGCCACTTTCAATATCTCCTCCCATCCCTTCCCCCTTTTAACTCATTCTGAATTATCCATAGCTGCATTGCTGCCTCGCTTTCCCCTCAACCCCCCCCC